CACTCTTTCTATGGCAAGCTCTGAATAAATAGCCGCTGTTTGTTCTCATTAGAGTGGTCTTCATTTATTTACACAGGTTTTAACCAGAGGAATGTAGCAATAAATAGATAATTTTATCTCCTGAGTAGAGCCTGAACTGGAAAGGTCTAGACTGGACGTAGGAGAGCAGACTGTAACTTCAAGCCTTGCCTAAGGTAGTGGCAACTGGTATAGGCAGACAACACAACAAATGGAATGAAAAACATCGAGGAGGTATAATCAGCAGGACATAATGTGTGATCTGATTTGGTGGGAAAGAGAAGAAAAGGGTGAGGATGACCCCTGGGTTTGAGGAATTATATAAATGGTGGCATCACTGGCTGAGACAGGGAATGCTGGAGGAAGAGGCTTGTGTTGAGGATGGAGATGAGTTAAATTTAGGGCAGAGATTTCTAAATAATAGGATAAATAATTGGAAGAGTTTGGGTAAATAAGATCACACAAGCAGAGTGTAGAAGCAAAAGAAAAAGTCATTCAATAAATACTAAATATCATCTGTGTACCAGGTATTGTGCTGAATGTTGCTGGTGAATATGGAGGAAAATGGGGACGCTGCAGAAAAAAACAACAGATAAGGCTTCTATGCTCATGACGGTGGTGCTAAGCAGAGTATATGGTACAGTTAAAGTACAGGTTATGCACTGGAAATTCTTGAAACAGGACAGAGAAGTGGAGCTGAAGCACTTTAGGGATGGCAGAGACCCTGACAATCACTTAGTTCAGTAGTTTTGAGGCTAAAAATCATTTGAGGGAGCTTTTTAAGAGTCCTGGCTCCACAACGAGGATTATGATCGAGTAGATTTACACAGTATATATACAGTACAGTGTTTTTTCATTTTTTTTTTTCAAAAAAACTGCTGAGATGACTATCATGGTCACTCAGGTTTGGGGAACACTCCTTTAGTACAGGCTCATTTTATCGTGACAAGGAGAAAATTGAGATGTTCTAAATTAATTACAGCAACTCAGAGGATGGAAGGAAGAGACTAGAGGTTAATCAGTTAACAACTGCAGGACAAAAACAACAAAAGACTACTTATGTTCCTGAGTGTACCTTGGAACTTTGATTTACCTTCCAGGTGGCTATTTCCTGGATTAAATAAAGAGAACAGCCAGGCGCCACTGGCCACTGAGAGCCTTCCGCTGCTTGCTTACTTTGCTTACCCATAAATTTTACAGACTGTTGCCTACAACAGATCCAAAGGAACAAACACTTTTTCCTTATGGACTATGAACCTATCCCAGAGCTTGCCCGGCTTCACCTTCTCGCACTTCCTTTATCTATAGCCAAGTGAAAATTCTTTCAAAACAACTCACATCTTTCTTCTCCCTACTTGACGTATTAAAAAAAGCCCATCGACTCCAGGATTGTGGAGATGTTGCCTTCACCTAGGAGCTACTACTGGTGGTTCAGACTTCATGCCCCAGGACCTGGTCCTTTTCTGGCTAGCATATGGTTCAATAAACCTTTTCTTTTAGAAAAGTTTTTGGCTCTGAAAGTTTTTTGTTTAACAATAAAAAAGGACACAGTCTTAGACAGTTTCAGTGATTTGGTCAATATAATTATATCAGGTAAGGAAAGCAATAAGGAGATACTGCGGAATTCTGAAAGAAAGTGGGGAAGGACTTGGAGAAAAGAGGATGATAAAGTGGTGTTTATGGAAAATAGATGAGGAAAAGGATCAAACGCAAGCGCTGACTAGAAGGATAAGACATTAATCCAGGACTGACTGAGGCATTGTAGTGACAAGAAAGGAGAGTAAGTAGTTCTTTTAAAGACCCATTTGGTGCCCTTGTTGTTTACCACATCATCTGACCTAGTGAGGGGAGAGTTGGAATTTTGTTTAACTGTTGTTGTATTTGTTTATTTTGTTTTATAATCTAAATCCACATTAAACTATCTCCTATGGCCTTCCAGGAGTTAATTGCAGAGAAACCCTGTAGCGCTGTTCATACCTTACTGCAGCTATAATACACTAAGCATTGCTACTCAGAGTGGGAAAAGGTGTCCTCTAAGCAGTCGCAATGGCATCACTTGGAATCCTGTGAGAAAAGCAGAATCCAGGGCTCTACCTCAGACCTACAGAATCAGAATCTGCCTTTTAATAAGATCCCCAGGTGCTCCAAATGCACATTAAAATTTGAGTAGCACTGCTCTAAAGGGTTTCTGATTCTTTAGAATGAGAGGAACAGCATTGAAATAAATAGGAAATAAAGGGCAAACAATTTGTGATTTCAAGCATATGATGGAGCTTGCTTAATGAACTGAGGTAAAATCCACACACTCGTTTTTAGCTAGCCACTTGGATAAACCGTCTCTCAAGCATAGGCAGAGGAGGAGGTTGCAGATGAGGAATGGTATGAAAAGATTGAAAACATTTAGAGTTCCAAGAGTCTTTCCCCTACTGGCTTAAAGTATAAGTCTAAAGTTATTTTAATGATGGCAAAGGGGACTAGACCCTACTCTGAGTAAAGAAACTGAGTAACCCTTACTTAACTTCTCATGGCCTTAGGTTCTTCACTTATAAAAGGAACTACAAACAAAACCTGGGGAGGCTGAGTGATCATTTCTCTCAGCTCTAAAAAGTGTTTATTCTATTGCATTTCTTTTGGTAGATACTGCCTTTTTATTTAATACTTTATAAAATATTAATAATCCTGAAGTAGTTATTGTTATACAAACAAAACTTTCAGGGCTGAAAGCTTTTCTAAAAGAATGGATTTACTGAGCCATATGCTAGCCAGAAAAAAGGACCAGGTCCTGGGGCATGAAGTCTAAACCACCAGTAGCACTAGGTAGAAAAGACAAATGTGTCCATCATCCTGGAGCTGATCCTTGGCTACAGATAAGGGGAGAGGGAAAAGGTGAAGCGGAGGCAGTTTTATGATAGGTGCACAGTCTCTAAATAAGTCATATTTTCTCTATTTAATTGGTAACAACAGTCTTGAAAGTTCATGCATATACAGGATGCGGTGGGTCTAATGGTTAGCTAATAGGCATTTGGAAGTTGATTCACAGCTCAAACATACATTCAGGAATGTGAGCAGCCTTTTGTCAGCCTACAGCTATTAACTGGTTAACTATTTTCTTTTCCTCTCACTCTCTGGGCCTGATGTAATTTAATGTAGGACATCTCAGAATTTTTCTCTTGTCATTATTAACAGGGTAGGACCTTGAATTAATATAAGTTGATTTCTTTCTGGAAGAGAATCTTAGGCCCTGGAAGGAGAGGTAGTAATGAAAGATAAGGAAAAAAGAAAGGGAAAAGGGAAGGAAGAAAATAAACACACACATACACAAGTATACTTGTTTTGCTTTACTTGATACGTTGTGGACTGTTTTGGCCATGGCCTATTAAAAGTATTTCCTCTTTTTTCTTTTTCTTTTTCACCCATGTTTGCCTGCCTCATATAT